ATGCGGAGCGTTTCAGTTGTGAACTTCGTAATGATGCTGATACTGGTATCATTATTACTAGTAATATCTTCGTCATTCGTAGTTATTACTATTATTATTACTGCTATTGTTATTATTATTCCATTATTATATACTCTTACCGGTGCTTTTTTCTGGATTTTTTTCTGAAGCACTGAAGTTTTAATTCACTGATTTTGTAAAATTTTGATTCTTTTTCGTATTTATTCAGTTTATGAGCCTTTTTTTTCTGGTTTTGCAGCAGAAGCACAGATATATGATAAGTTAAAAGAAGTGATGCAAACGGTCGATTTGGACGAAGTAACCAGTAGAGATATTCGCCTGAAGGTCAGTTAATTTTCTTGCATTGCTTTACAAAAGTATCCGTGGACACGGTTCTTTTTTCCTTTTGTTGTAGGAGTCAGTTGGAGTAGAATTTTTTTGCAGGTCGAAGAAAGTTTGGGAATGAATTTGGACGAGTACAAAGATTTCATCAGTCGCCAAGTGATGGTTATTATGGGCCAAATGGATACAGCATCGCAAATTTTCCCTTATCTCTACTTGGGCACCGAATGGAATGCATGCGATTGGCAATGGCTTGAAAATAACAAGTTCGCTCATTTGTAAAATTTTTTTTTAAAAATTCTTTGTAGTGGTTTGATCCAGTAAAGGATTTAGGAAATCGCCAGTTTTTTGTGAAAAAGAAAAACTTGGGCACAAGAAAAATTCACTTTTTGAATATTCTTCAGTTTGGTGCTGGGATATTTTTTGAATATATCCATTGCCATTTGCAGTGTCAAATATATTGTAAACGTGACGAATGAGGTGGAAAATTTTTTCCCGGCTCGTTTAAAATATCTAAAAATACGTGTTTCGGATGAGGCCAGTGCGGAACTGCTGAAGTATTGGAACCAGACAAATCAATTCATCAAGGAAGCTAAGTAAGTTCTTTCCCAACAACTTATACTTTTGATCCCTTGTCGTTTTTTGGGTGGTAGAATTTTGCTAATTTATCATATTATTTTGATATTCCCCCAGAAAAAATTCTCAAAAAAAGATAAATAAATAAAGGATCTTCGAATAAGTACAGTGACGACGGGGGAGGGGAGAAGAAAGTGGACTCCGGAGGAGTGGAGGGGGAGGGGCAGGCGACAAGGGGTATCGAAGACAGTTTTCTGCAGTAAAACAATTGCTACCTGTGCCACTTAGGGGAG